AAAAATGATGATATGGTCAAAATACTCACTTGCCTAATAATTGTGCACACAGTGTAGAAAAACTGTTAATATTTGTGTCCCAAAAATATGAAGAAATAGTGAATAATGATTCTGGTTTCATAAATGTCCTCAAAAAGAAATATTTTAAGGGTAACTTTAGACATCAAGAATTGAACATAATTCAAGGGAGAGGTGATTCCAGAGTATAGGAGGAAAAGCCCTAAAGTGGTAGTCATTTTAACATGAGAAAAAATTAACTGACCTTGATTACATTTGAATTGAACTCACAGGAATATAAGCTGATTTAAAAAATAATAATAATAATAACAGGGTATACCTGTTTGCATGGCTCAGAAGGTTAGCACCCTGAAGGAAAACTGAGAGCTGTCAGAAATACCCAGAACACATAGGAAGAAGATGTAGGAATGCATTGGAAAGAATTTCAGATCATTTGAGGCGTATTATTCTGGACCTGACTTACTGGGTTGAGAACCATCAAGAGGGTTGGCCAACAAATTATTACAGTAATCTAGATGGGATACCATTAGTATATGGACTAACATGGAGGAGGATGTTGTGGATTTTTTTTCTAATGTTCAACAGCTAAAAATTACAACAGATTGTAAATAATAGTTTACATTATTTAGATTGTAAATAATTACAATAGATTTATAAATAAAAGTCTTTAAGTTTCTTGACAATATCTCCATTTTATAAATCATCCTAACCATGTTTTGTAAACTCTGGAGGATATAAGTTTCCTTGATACATTTTTTATGCCATCCTTCACCTCCTTATTTCTCAGGCTATATATAAGAGGATTTGCAACAGGGGGCAAGACTGTGTAAAAGAGAGAGCAAATGTAGTTGACATTGTTAAGTACTTTAGGCTTTGGTAACATATAAACAACCATGATGGCTCCATAAAACATAGAAACCACTATCAGATGAGATGAACAAGTGGAAAAGGCCTTTTTCCTCCCGACAGTGGAAGGAATTCTCAAGATAGTAGATATGATGTATATATAGGATGTCAAGGTGAGGAGAAAAGGTGGCAAAGTAAATGCAAAGGCAAGGATAAAACTCATAAGTTCTACCAGGTTGCTGTCACTACAGGAAAGTTGTATGAGTGGAAGAGTATCACAAAAATAATGATCAATTTCATTTGGTCCACAGAATGTTAACTGTAACATTAAAATCAAGACAAACAAAGAAGCTATAAGGCCAGTTATCCATGAGGAAGCTGCCAGCTGGATACAGATTTGTGCATTCATACTTGTTGCATAATGCAACGGTTTGCATATTGCTAAATATCGATCATATGACATTACAGACAGGAGATAGCATTCTGTTCCTATGAAGTAGCTAAAGAAGAAAAATTGTACAAAGCATCCACTGAAGGAAATGGTGTTTTCATCAGTCAATAAGCCCACCATCATCTTGG